TTCTAAACATCACCTTCTAACCCGGTTCATACTATCCCCTCTGAGGCTGGCTGGAAACCCCATGGATTGTGTATGAGTAAAAAGCCATTCACTGTTGGCCATGACTTCAGTGTTCATCTCAGGTGAATTCCTAGATGACCCCAGAAGGAACAGAGCCCTGTGAGCAGCCTGTCCTCACCCTTATTGTTAAACTGCCTTGCCTTCTCTCCTATCAGCCTCCTACACCAGTCACAGTGCTGGGGAATAGCACTGATGCGGTCTCCACTCCCCAGCTCCTTCTGGACCTCAGTTTCCTTGTTTGAAAAAGACAAACTGTGGTGTTTGAGTCCCCTTAGAGGTGAGACCCAGTGTGGAGGTATGGCTTACCTGAGGCCAAAGAATGAGAGTAGGATTAGGACTTATGACTCTCTAATCTGGCCATGGAGATCTTTAAATAATTAGGTGCAGTGGAATGGTTTTATCCTACAAGTCACACTAGAATATTCAACAGACTGATTTTTTTCTGTCTTTCTCTACTTCAGGAATGGGAAATGAAGAAGACCTAGAAAGAAGATGAGGATTTCATCCAAAGGAAATACCACCTTGTCCATTCAAGACAGAAATGCTTTTTTCACAAGGAGACATCGGAAGACTGGAAATAGCCCACACCCTCTGGGGCACCCAAAAGACCAGCCTTTATCGTCTGCATGATTATAGGGGACATGGGGAGGGAAGAAGTAGAAGAGAAGAGGGAAATGGAGTGCAGCCTTGTAACTTTATGGAAGGTGGAAAAGGGGGTGGAAGGAGACAGAAATCTGCACACTTGTAAAGGTTTTGTTAAATGTCTTTGCCTTCCTTTCTGAAGAAGAAATGAAAGCACATGTGAATAAGCCATTCCATCCCATTCTCAGCATCCCATTCCCAGTCCTTAGGGCAAAGGAGGGCAGAGCTGAGGCATCGGTGGTGCAGTGTAAAGAGACAAGACTTGATTATCCAGTCACGCTTGTGCCAAATGGATTCATGTTGGGCATTACTGATAACCTCTGGGCAAGATAAATAAGATAAAAAAATCAATAGAATTATCTCGACCTGCATAAAAATGAACAAAAACTACAGAGATTATGTATATCCTACAATCATTCTTCATGATTACAGAATCCTCATGATACAGAATCCAGAATCCCAGATTTGGATGTTTTCAAGTCAGAGATCTGGCAAAAAGAGGTTAATTAGGCAGAGAGGTTCAGTAGCTGACATATTTTAAGCTCACAGTGGCACTAAGTGACAGGAGTATGGATTTCTAATGTCCACAGGATG